ATAAGGAAAAGAAAATGAAAAGAATATTTAAATAGTAAGGATAATAGTGTCTAAAAGTTAAAACAAAATATCTTTCAGAATTTTTTTAAATTGATTTGTTTAAGATAGAGAAAAAGTATTTTAGGACTTAGTTTTTTGACACTTTCAAATGCATACAAGGCTCCTGCTCTCTTTCACAAACACACTGATAAATAATATAATTTTTAGTATACTTCTAGACTTTGAAAGACGGTATATTTAGTTTTCGATTGTATTTATTTCTAGTAGAGAAGGAATGTATTAGTCTGCTTTCTTTTTAATGGAAGATGGTAAATTTTAATTTAAGGAATCAAAAACAAAAAGAAGATTAACATACTTTACTAGTTCTGAAAATGTTGGAATGTTAAGTTTTTTGAAGGGCTCTAATGTACCTGGTTTAATTGTTTGAAAGTTCATTAATCTGATAAATTGACGTTGAGACGATAGCAACTTGTTAATGCGATAGTTTCCAACTTGACCTCAAACTTAATAACAGTAGCTAAGATGAGATGAGAATAATGCATAGCAAGCCTTCCTAGGAAACACGTGCGGTCGCATACGTTGTTTGTCTATGTTTAAAGTAACTTTTTTTAGATGCACTGATTGAAATAGTTTGCATCTTATAACTTTTTAAGTGTTTCAATAATTTACAGCAAATAGCTAAACTTATCTACTGAGAAAAAAACCAATTCTAAAAAAAGGAAACAAAAATGTAGCAAAAATCAAATTTTAATTAAACTAGAAAAATTTAATAGTTTAAAAAATATATATTTTTAATAAACTTTTTATACAACTTTTGAATTCTTTTTTTATAGAGTGGTTGTTGTTTTTACCAAATTTGATACAAGTTGATGAAAAAAACAACATCTATTACAAAAATTAAGCAACATTTAAAAGTTTTGATAAGCAATTTATTCATGATTTTTATCAGTCCTTATAATTGAAAAAATATTTATTTGTTTTGACTTTTTTTTTGCTTTTAAAAATGTTTTTAAAAGCAAAAAGATTTTTATATTTGACATTTTTTCTCAATACCAAGAAAATAAGAAAATAAATTTGTTTGTTTGCTATTTATTTGTAAAATATATTATTTGATTAATAAATTTTGTAATGATGGAAAAAATTAAATAAAAGAGTTGCATGGTTTCTTTTATAAATGTATTTACCACATTTCAGGCCTTGTTATAAGATTCTGTTGCATAACAGAAAATGGTAATGCAAATAAAATGTAACTTTACTCAGTAAAGATATTTACATCGCTAAAAGTTTAAAGTACCTCATTGTAATTAAATTTAAAATCAGATTAAAAATTATTCTAAGTCTTTATATTTATGAAATATCTTTATATCAAACAATGTTGTTATAAAAAAAATTAAAATTTAAATGTCTTTTTTTTTTTAATTTTGTTTTTAAAAAAAAAAGACATTGTATTTTAAAATCTTATACTTATTAAAACTTGTTTTTTTTCTTTGAAACATTCATTTTATGGTTGTTGTTTTTTTTTTAATGAGGAAATGCTAGTATATGGCTGCATTTCTTTAAGGGATTTAAATGTACTTACCACAGTTTTTTAAGTGGTTTACACAACAAAACAATTAGATTGGGTTTCCCCCTTTATAAAAAAAAATTTGCGCTACCTAAAACATTATAGTTCAACTGGCAAAATAAAATTAAAACTAAGATTGTTGCTTTTCTGCTTTGTTTTTGTTTTTTTATTTCCATTAAAATGTTTTGTTTTCACTTACCATGAAACCTAATTTATTTTTACTATTTCTTACTAAATCTAAAAAAAAAAAAAAAAATTGTATTTTTGGTTTTAAGATGTTTTTAGCAGATTTTATTTTTAACAAATATCAGTATATTTTTGAAATTTACTCATCTTATTTTTATAGCACTAGTATTTGTTTTGTTTTTAAAATCAAATAAATATAAGTTGGACTTTTAAAACGTTTACTTATTCATTGTGTTATTTTTATTTGTTTATTAGTTTGGTTCATTTTATAAAAAAAATAATGAAATTCTTCTACATAAAGTTCAACGGCAAAGGAAAACCCAAACATAACTCGAATTTGAAAAAACTTTTTTTGTATTTATTAACAACATTATTTTGTTGTTAATAAATGTCATTTATTAACAACAAAAGCACATTAATTTGATCTGTATTTTTAAATCGTAGATCAGGAACTTACCTTTTAAAAGAAAAAAATAGCCTTAAAATTTATAAATTTATTCACTTTAATGGTCAAAAAATAAATAAATAAAACTTATCAACCTTTTTTTTAACATTTTGGCTTTAACAAAATCTTCCCATGCTACTCATAAACTAGTTAATCATTTTAATCCATGTTCAGTCTATGATCATTTCAAAAAATTTCAAAACTGAAATGTAAAATAAAGTCATGTAATATGAACATTTTAAAGTAACTTGAATTAAAATTATTGTTTTTTTTACTTTAACATAGTTTGAAAATTTTAGCAATAAAAAAAATATTAAAACTAAAGTAATGATAGTAAACTAAAGTACTGTAAAACTAAAGTGATTATAAAGTAATAAACTAAATGTAAAGTGCTGTAAAATTTTTAAAATAATTTAATTTGAAATCAATAAAAGAAATTTAATTTAATTTTAATAAAATAAATTATAAATATATTAAAAAAAAAAAAAAAAATAGAAAAAAAGTTTATCTATCTATCTGTATTATATCTAATAAATTAAATATCCCACAAATATTTTTTTACAACAATTAATTACAGCCTAATGTTTTCCACATAAACTGTTCTAAAAGGCTGTTTAAATAGACTAGTTGAAAAAAGTTTTAGCGTAATGTAAATTGCAAAATGCATATGTGAAATCTTGAATACGTATGTCAAATTCAAATAGTGTAACACTTTTTAACAAAGCCTGATATTTGATGCCTGTGTGAAAGTTTCCTTTATAAAGCCTGATTTTCAACATTTATGCGAAATATAATGAATGACAAAAGTCGCAAATAAATTTAATATCAAAAAAAGTTTTTATTTTCGTTATATTCTAATCTGCTGTTTTTCCTTAACTTGTATAAATTTTGGTAGTGGAAAATAACAAATGTCCTAAAGAAAAAAGAAAAAAAAAAGAATTATTTAGGTATATTATTTTTTTGACAAAATTTTTTTTCAAATTGTTTAAAAAAATTACTTTAAATGTGTATGAACAAGGCATGCCATCCCATGGGCTTCCCGGGAAGGCTTGCATAGTAAATATTCTTAAGTGTAATTTGATCTACATAATGACGAATTGTTAATAGCATACCGTTAGCTTGATGAAGTTTCTTGTTTAGTTCATCTATGTGAAAAAACAGATGAACTAACCAGAAGTGAACAGAGTTAGTTAGGTCATTAACATAGATTTAAAATAAAAGCAGAACAAGAACAGAACTTTGAGGAGTGCCACACAAAATTGGATTATTATTAGAATAAAAACTATTTCAATTAGTTCAATATCTTTTTTATTCAGCGTGTTTTTGAACAGTTAATTACTGTGTTCAAATCTATTTATATTGAATATTTTTGTTTAAATTTATTTATCTGTGTTTTTATTTGTGTATTAGTTACAAAAAACCTATATCAAGAGTATATAGCAAATCAATTCATCAGTCATGTCTAACAGTTCATGTTCTATTTACAAATTTATTGATACTAAAAATCGAAATTCTATTTTTAGTGAGTGTTCTCTATAAGTCTACTTAATTTTCTTGCTTTATTTGATTGGAAGCTTCTATGAAAATTGCTAGAAGTTAAATATGGACAAATTGGCTAATGTTATGAATATGTGATCCCCTATGAGTGTAAAAAACTGCAATGTAATTATAACATTTAATGATGGAAGTGCATCATTTGAAAATATTATGCATATTGTAGATGCCCATATTATGAACCAAAATATTGCATATCTATGCAAGAAAAAATACCTAAAGGATACCTGGATAATAATAGAATTTATAAGAAATCAAATATTTCTTACAAATTATCAAAAAAATAAAACCATTGAAAATGCTATATATAGATCTGTATATAGATTTACATTATTTACATGCGTTATTTGTAAGCACAGGGTTATTATTAAGTCTGTGCTTACAAATAACGCCTACTAACTATTTTGTTTATTATTTAAATTTTGCTTAGATAACATCTACTAATGAGTATTTTCAAATAAATACTTTGAACTAAAATTAATAAAATATTTCTTTGCATTTATATGGGGTCATAAGTTATATGTGGGTGTCATGAGTGTTATGCTCTTGGAATTTTCAAAATTGTCCAAAAATACATGACAGGGCCTATAATAAAGGAAATCACCCAGCTTAATCTTATATGCTCATATAATGGAAATATTTTGTTAACAAACTTCAACCCAAACTTTTACTTTGTTAGCTTGCATAATGGTTAACAATTTTAGTACTTCTTAATTTAATTGATTTTTTTATTAAGTTGAAGTTTGTTTAAAATCAAATTATATTTTACTTCAAATTAGATTATTATATTATTACATGAGAAGTTCTCTAATTTTTATTAAAAACTATACATTATAAGTTTAACTGCAGTGTTGTACCTAAATTATAAATCAAATAAATTGCAGGATTTATTGATTTATTTGATGTTTTTCGAAAGCGGCTATTTAAAATTTTATTGTTAAAGTTGTATTTTATTATTCTGTTTTTATATTCATGTTGTGTTTCTATTTTTATTTTGAATTCTTTAAATAGTTTTTTTTTTTTTTTAACTCTACTGTTTAATTAAACAAAGTTTATTAAAAAAAACTTTAAAAAACAAAATTAACAAAAATATTTTGACCAAAAAACTCTTAAGTATCATTAAGTTTAAATTGGAATTACTTTTCATCTTCATTCAAAAATGTTAAACAGGTTAATATGTTATATAATTCTTAAATAATAAATATGTTATGTAATTCCCCTGATCAGTTGATTCTTTTTTTTACGAAATAGCTCCAAAAGATGATCCTCGTCATGTTGTAGTTCAAAAGATGACTTTTCTTTGTGAAGGAAGACCAAATTTTGAGTTTGATTTAACAGGTTTGATTTTTAGTTTGTTTTTTTTTTGTTTTTTTAATAATCACAGTTTTTAAGTTTTATTAGTTGTTTTTTATAATTTTTATTACTATTTGTTTCATCAAACAATTGAAATAAAATTAATTTTGACTACCTCAGGCTTGGTTGGGAAGCAGGAGCGATCGCTCTCGATTGCTGACCACGTAAACAATATTTAGTTGAGAAAAGTTGGCCAGATTTTTTAGTTGTTTTGAGAACATTTTAAAAAGCAAAAAAAAAAGCGCAAAAGATTAACTGGACCAATGAGAGACAATTACAAAAAAAAAAATTAGGCAAGTAAAATATCTTTAAACGCAAAAAAACTTAAAGCTAAATAAATTATGTTTAAAACAAATATTTTTGAAACATCGCTCTTTAAAAACTTTTTAAATAAAATTAAGTGATGTTTTTTATATAAAGTAACATCTTATGATTGTTAAAAAAGGAAACAAATATTCTTTATTTAACAAAGTTTGCAAGTTTTAGTTTTATTTAAGCTAAATTATTTTATAAATAAAAAAGTTAATTTTTTTAATACCTATTTTATGTTTCGTGTAGTTTGAAAAGTTTAACATATTTGAAGCAATTCTTTTTAGTAAGATAAACAAATGAAATAATAAATTCATGGAATTACTGTAGAAATTAACAAGATAGAAATCAACTAAAAAGGTTAAAAATACTTTATGACGAGGAAGTGAAACTGCTTCACAATATCGTTGATGATGTTTAGTGAGTGGGCTTTTTAATTTTAATTAGTATTTAAAGAGTTTTAAAAATGGCAACTTAAACGAAAATAATTAAAGTTAGTGAACCAATATCTAGAAACTTTTCTTTATATCTAATTATTTGCTATATATATTTGTGTTCTGTCGTTACCTCAGGCGCGGTGCTTGTTCATCTGCAAGTTACTTAGTATGCGTTGTTTGTGTTTAGTAACCAGAAGCTTCTTATATGTTTGTTACATAATTAGTTTTATTAACTTTAAAGTAGGGTTAAACTTTAAAGTAGGGTTAAAGTAGGTCCATAATCATCTTTTTTTAGATTTTTTATAGTTTAACCAATTTTTCTTAATTAGTTTTTCATGCTGATTCTGAAAATCATAATCATTTTTTTTTATTTTAATAACTTAGCCTTCTACTTTGATTTTAATAAAAGTGAATATATTGACAAAAAAAGGCATTGTTAAAATTAGATGAAATTATTATTATCATTAAATATAAGAAAAGTAGAAAACTAGAAATATTTTTCTGTTTAATTTATCAATAATATACCTTATCATTTATAAGTAACAAAAAAAATTAAGTATTATGTATGAAAATAATTCATACAATTTGTTATTTACTATTGAAAATGGAAAATAACTATAAAAATCATCATATGTGAAAGAGATTGCTGCGTGAACTTTCCTTATAGAACATCGAGGTTATGAGCGTGTTCTTTGGTAGACATAAGATAGAGGTTTGTATTTTTATATCAACAATCATGAATTTAAAAAGAATAGACCTCCGCGACAATGACCTACATTGTATTCCTAAAATAAAGAACCTCATTTTTCAAACTTTTTTTTTATTTTAACATATCTTTATCTACATCAATAATGTCTAGTTCACAGCTAAATGGGCTGCCTTGTAACTTTAATCAAGCTAAAACAGAACTCATTATGCACACCTGATGTAAAGTTTGCTGCTCTTCCATTGTTATCCATTTGTTTTTGTAGCTGGTTTCAACGATATTCCATAGTTTCAACTTTTTGGACAAATAACTGGACAATAATTCTCCAAAATATTAGTCCTGAGGCTAACTGTAACCAAAATGCTCTAGCAAGAATGATACAATCATTCAACCTCTTTGAGGTATACTTATTAACTGCTTCTAGAATTTTTTTTAACTAGCCATTAACTGCGTTTTAGAGGAAAGCAGAAAATTTCAAAATTTGATCACCCAGTTTGTTTTTTATACAGCCTTTTAGGTAGCGGTGTTCCTTTAGCCAGTTTATCTTTAGAATTGTTAAAACTTTAGAATTTAACTGAACTTCTACTGACTGGCACTTTAAAAGAAGATTTATTCTTGACTTCATTAAAGAAAAATGAAAATAAATGAAATCTTGAATAGCCTTCTTGATAGCTTGAATAACGATTAAAAATAAATAAAAAAAAGGAAATTAAGATATTTTGAAGCAATCTATCTTTTTGATTACTTATAACGTTTTGTTTAGAAAGAGACTTCAGATATAACTTTTTTTTGAAGCAATCTGTCGTTTTACTTATTTAAAACGTTTTTTTAGAAAAAGGCTTTAGATTAAACTTTTTTTTTCTAAAACGCAACGATTAAAAATCAAATTTATCCAATTAAAATTTGAATAGCATAAATTTGAAAGAAAAGTTGAGTAACTTTATACGCAAAGAAACTTTTGCAAAGACTTTTATTTTTTATATCTTTAAATTTTAAAAATAGAAGTAGAAGATCAACCATAAAAAATTAGCAAAAATTGAATTGTTTTTTGAACTTTTCTCAAAAAATTTATTAAGAATAACTGATTAAACAAGAAATATAGAATTTTGGACCCCCATCTTCCCCCTATTTAAAGGGATCCCAAAGTTCCGACACATGTTGTGTTCATATTAAAGATAATGTTAAAAAAAAAGGTTTGAACCAAGTTTTTTTGATTAAAAATAAATAATGAATGAGAAAAACTAATGTTGTTGTTTTAGCCGAAGCTCGCCTTCTCCATTTTTTTCAATAGCTCGGATTCTTTAAATTATATGTCGCAATCTACAGACTTTGGCGATTCCTTTGAAGCGCGTTTAATTCATAAAAGTTTTAGTATTTGACGTCACAGTAGACTTTTAACAAATGAAACTCTGGAAATATTTTTATTTATTTTTATTCGAACCTTTTTTGATTATATGTTAAGTTTTTTTTTTTTCTATTTTTAACATTTAAAAAGATATTAAAAACCTCAAATATTTTATGCTGGTTCGTTGCTATAAATTGTTATTGCGCCATTTAATGTTTGTAAATTATGAATATTTATTATCTCAATCAAGACTCTGATAAAAAAATTGTTTTACATTAGTTACCCTTATAAAATTAGTAAAAGCATTTTTATTTGGTTAGATAATATTTCGTCTCAATTTGCTTTGCATGAAGTTCAGGAAGTCAAGCGAAAAAAATTAGTTTGAATAATCACTTTGAAATATATTCAAAACAAATTGTTTTAATGATGGGGCTTTAAAAGTTTTTTATAACAAATGTAGGTAAAAAATAAATAATTAAATAAAAAGTTCAACATTAAACATCATTTCTTTATTATATTGCAACTGTACATATTGAAATATTAATTTGAACTAAATTTACTTATTATTTAGAACAACTAAACAATAAAAATAAAAAAACCCTAAAATTATGCGATATTGTGTTGTTTATTTGATAATTGCTGTTGGTGATGTTGTTTATGTTGATTATTTTTATTAATATCAAAATAGTCCCAGATTAATCTGTTAGTTGCTTTGTTCATTGTTGCTTTATTTCTAATTTAATTTTATTTCTAAGTATAAATTTATGTTAAGAAAGAAAAGTTTTTATTTCATCGCTTGCTCTTTTTATGAAAGGGTAGAACAAAAGAGAAGGAAAAGTTTCGCGTAATTAAACTTCGAATGAATAAGAGTTGTATAGAATTTTTTTTTTTTTTTTGCGTCACTCGTTCTTTTTTTAGATGAGAGGAATAAAAGTTTATTAGTAACTTTTTTTTGAAGAAATGAAATTTGGAAGAGAAAATTGCTTGAAAATTTGTATTTGTTGTGTTTTAAAATTTTTTTAATTTTTTATGTTATGAGACAAATGCCAAATACGATACAAATTGGGAAATACCAAATATAATATGTTTTTTAACGCGCTTTATGACATTTTGACAATTTAAATTATCATTTATCTTGAATTATTGCCATTAATTAATGTGTTAATTATTGCGTTATATAATAATAGTTTGTCCGTATTTTTGTTAAATATTAGTTGTATAAAACGGGCAAAAATATACAAACTTAATGTTTTTTATTTGATGGTTATAAAATATTGAACAGTAAACTTAATCAAAATTTATAACGCCGACTTGTGTTGCTATTAATTGTACTTTTAATGCAAAACCAGGATCTCACATATCCTTTCACGAATTTTCATATCTTATACTACTGTCAACTGTATTGTTTAGTGTATTCTTGTACTTTTTTTTCATAACCTTAACAGGTTCTAATTGCTATGGAGTTGCCGACATTTTAAAAGTTTATCATTATCAAAAATCAAATGTAAAATAAAATGATATTTCCTTTTTATCCGTATCCAACTTAGCAAATTTAGCAATTTAAAGTTAATCAGTGTAATCAAAAAATTTTTATAATAAAAAAAGTTAACAATTCATCAAATATCTCTAATTAATACTGTCAGTTTATAAAATTAATTAGTAATACTTTTTTTCGACGGGAAAACAAAAAATATCATAGCGTAAAAATAACCAGAGAAGTTAAAAGTTCCCATTGTTTAAATAAAAATAAGTAAGATTCAGAATATATAATACTGCGCTCTCTTGCACAAAAACGAGAGACTGTATACATAATGTTCTATATAATGTAAAACACTCATATGAAAATCATAAGATTTGTAAGTAAAGCTTTAATATTTATTTTAATTTAAAAACAAAAGAAATATAAGATATATAAATCTAAAAATTATTAAGATATTGGTCAAAAAAAGTTCCTCTTATGAAATAAAAAGCTTTTATTATTTTTGATTTTTACAAAAATTTGTTGTAAAAGTTGTTTTGCTGTATGTTAAAATTTTTTTTTTTTTTAATTAAAATAAAAAAACGCAGCTTTGTTTAATTACACTTTTTTTTTTGTTAAAAATCTACCGTTACGTCAGATGCTAAAACTTTTATGAATTAAACGCGCTTCAAAGGAATCGCCAAAGTCTGTAGATTGCGACCTATAATTTAAAGACTCCGATTATTGAAAAAAATGGAGAAGGCAAGCTTCGGCTAAAACAAAAACATTAGTTTTTCTCGGTATGCATTCATTATTTATTTTTAATCAAGCTTGGTTCAAACCTTTTTTTTTAACATTATCTTTAATATGAACACAACATGTGTTGGGAGTTTGGGATCCCTTTAACGATTATAACTTAATTGAAAATGCAATTATTTTTGTAAGTCTTTGTTTAAATCATAAAAATTTAATTTTTTAATGTTTAAAATTTAATTGTTCAATGAAAAAACTCATTTTAATGAATAACACCGCATTTGATGTTATTTTCAAAATGCTTAAACAACAAACTGTCATAGTTTTTTAAACATAAAAAGTATTGCAAAAATATTGTTTCAAATTTTGGCTTAAGTCTACTTTAGACTTAATATTCACCAATAAGCCTAACAACGTATTTGAATTAATGCATTTATCTCCTCTGATTGTCAGTACTGTAGTACTGATTTTCGTTTCTTATGCCAATAGGATGTCATACATTATACATGTTTTCTGCTATCACTTCTAAAAAAAATATTAAATTTAATTTATCTGAGAATGCTACTTATTTAATCTTTTGTTTATTCAATTTTGGTGACCTTTAAGATATTTCTAATCAAGCTTTTTTTATTTATTATTGAATATACCTATATATCCAAAAAGTCTGACATCATGTAGCTTTTGTATCACAGTACTACGGTTAACATTTGCTGGATTTTCATCATTTAGTTGGAATTTTTTTTGCAGTTGATTTGCATTTAATATGTCAAATCAACTGCAAAAAAAAAATGTTTATCTTTATCTTTTACTATGCAGAAATTCTTTTAAGCCATATCCTCTACAATATTTTACAATGATATTGTATACAGCTGATTTGCAAAACAGTAATAATGAAGTAACAATGAACAGTAATAATGAAGTAATAATGAAACAAATAATATCAATAATAAAGCAATATCACTTGAATCAATATCACTTTCTTTTTTTTGAATTTTTTTTTTACCTTCTCATGAATTTAAATGTATATATGCAGAGACATGTTCTATTGTTGAATAGGTAAACATTCAATGCACTATTATGTGTAAATGCATCTTTGATTGTCCTACTGTGTCATTGTATATTATGTGACCAGAAACTTTTGCACTTGTATGTATAACAGTTATAATAATAAATACATTTACAAACATAATATTCTTTTTTTTTAATATTATGTTGCCTATACTACAGCCGTTTTTTAAAACGCCTTTTAAGTATTTTAAAGAAAAACACTATTTGATATATATTTTAAATTTTGCAGTTTTACAAGAGATTCGTAATTAAAATATTTATTTATATATGAGCTTTATTATCTTAATTATATTATGGATTGGAAAAAAAAAAGATGAATTTAAAAAATTAAGTATTTGTGTTGAGTTTTTTGTCAGAAAAAATGTTTACTTTTTTATAGATGTAAGTGGCATTCAAAATGCCTTTTCAAACAATAACAAGTAAATTTACTTCAATTTTTTCCAATGAGTTTCTATTTTTAAAAATTTGGCTATGTATCCGAATCCGTAATAAATATTCGTTTTTAAAAAATATATCAATGTATATAAATTTTTTCTCTATGAAAATCAATATTTTAACTTTAATTAAAAATAATATTTTATTTCAAAATGTAACTATTTTGATATTTTTATTTTTTAAAAGACCACACAACATTTGGAGCAATTATTGCAATTAGCTCCAGATGTTTTGCGATCTTTTTATAAACTTTTACACAAAAATCATCTATTTAAATTACGCATCTAAATATTATATTATCTGCGCTTTTTACGAACTCACAACTTAAAAACTTTATCAAAATGTAAATAAAAATCTATTCAAAATGGACTTAATTTGTCAGAACTACAACAATTTAAGTGATGAGAATTCAGAAAATGAAAATAAAAAGGAATCCACAGTGTTAAATAAATGACCATCATAAAAAATTTCACGAAAAACAGAAAAGATTCTGAGATTAAAAGAGAATTGATGTAGCGGAAGATTGCAATTGCAAACATGAATGTGCCAAAAATATCACTAACGATAGAAGATGTGAAATTGATGATGATTTCTGGAGTAATACGCTGAAAAACCGCTACAATTGGATCACTAAAAACGTTCAAAATGCAAATTTTAGCCAAAAAAAAAAATGAATAATAGCAAATTCAAAAAATTAAACATACATAGAAAATATAAGGTTCAAACGTGGTTCTTTTAGCAGGATTTATTGTTGTGACTATGATGGTCCCGTGGTTGAAGTATCAGTTTCATCCAAAAAGCAGAAAGAAAAAATATCAATTTTATCATATACTATGAGAGATTTAAAAGCCGGAATTAATCCTATCCAAAAATCGAAACTTGTTTCAACAATTTATCCTTTAATGCCCCCTAATAGAAGAGAGTTTTGTGAAAATTTTTTGGCCAGAGAATAAGAGTTTTTACGTTTAATAATTCTTCAATTTCAAAATTATATATTATAATTATCTTGCGCATGTATAAATTTCCTTGTTATTTGTCTTTCTTTTTTGTAATATTACTTATTTCATCTTCTACATACATTTATTTTACATTAAAAAATTTTAAATTTTAAACAGATGCAACTAATATAACTGTTTTGTAATACACAGGTCAACAAAAAAAAAAAATTTTCTGTTGCTGAGCAAACAATTTTTTTTTTTTAATATTATTTCTCATTTTGATTTCAAATGTGCAACTCATTTTTCACCATCACGTCAAGTTGTAAAGATATTTGGGTTCAAATCTTTAGTATTTGGGGTAAAATCGCTAATAATGTTGATAAAAAAGTTATTCAAAAGTATGTCAACCTGGGTCTCAAAAGAAGCGTATTTTCATAGAGATTTCAAAAATTCTATTTGTTTGTAAAAAAATAGAATTTGAATTTTTAAAAATTAAATTTTAAAACATTTAGGGGAAAGGTGTCAATTGCCATTCCCCCCTCAAATTATTGATAAATAAGTGTTCAATAACGCTTGTTATCACCTATATTAGCTAATTTCATAAAAAAGTCAATTTTGAATTTTTTGATTTTAAGGCGTTTCGAAAAACGGCTGTAGTATATTTTATACAAATATCCCATAGTGATTAAAATTAGTCTTTTATTTAAGTACAAAGTTACTGACCAAAGACTGTTTTAAAGTGTTACAATTATCAGTTGTTTTTTTCATCATCATCAAATCACCAATGTAAATAATATATTGTTTTTAGGTTAATTTTTTAAATTTAGGTGACATCAGTAAGCTTAAAGATGTGGTATTAGTTGTAAAAGAAGGTGTAGAGTTTAAAATAAAGATTGAATTTAAGGTGCGATGAATTTTATATATATATTTGTGCGTGTACATATATATAAAAAATATATATATATATTAGGGTGGCAATTAAGGGGCTGTCCATTAATTACATCAATAATTTTTTGACAATTTTAACCTCCCCCTTGTCAACAACTTGTCAAACTTTCAGTGACCCCCCTATAAAATTATGTCAACATTTGATAACCCCCCATCTCCCCCCCCCCCCCCCTCAAAAAAAAAAAATAAATAAATAAAATAAAATAAGATGGAAAAAAAATGTTTTAAATTCACGAGTTTACAACTGAAATTTACAACTGAAACAAATAAGTGGTTCAAAGTAATATGTTTAGAAAAAGAATGTATTTAAATTTTAACTTATTATGAACATATTTTTAAATTAATATAATCATTTAAAATTACAAATGAACAAAAAGTGAATTAAAGTAAAAGGTATAGAGAAAAAAAATTAAACTTTTAATTGATAAACATAATTCAGTTTAAAAATACAAAAGAGCCTTTTTTTCTAAACCCTTTAATCTTTTTTTCTCTTAAGAAAAAAAAGGTTTAAGGGTTCACAAAAATGTTCACACGTTTAAATTATAATCTTATTTCAAATTAATAAAATTCTCCTCACTTTAACATTATACCTAATAAAAATTTACATTGAAAGCCAATTAATTTTAATAGAGTCTAGAATAACAAAAAAAAGCATTTAACAAATTGTATAAACCAGGGGTTGGTATCTTTTTGAGACAAAAAAGTCAAAAGTTATATACAAAGTTTTTCAGGTTTTAAAGAGCTACCAACATCTTTATTATATTATATTTAGGGATGTGGTGTCCCGAAAAGGACTCCGGATTTATGTCATGAAAGAATACTTCTTCCTAGTTTTTGGTATCCAGGAGCTCTTATAACATAAAAATGCTTAAGGATTGGTAAAAAAGTTAAGACTTTTAGATTAGAGGAACAATCTCTTTTTGAACCCGGAGTCCTTAGGTATTATGGCGGCTAGGACTTTGGGACTCCGGACTTAAAACAATATGTTTCAAGTTATTAAATTTCATGAGTTTTTTTATTTAACAGATCATAAATCAACTAACATGTTCAGAGCTTTTAGACACCAGAGACCAGTAAAAAATAGAGATATAAAACCGGAGTCCTTTTGGGACTCTGCATTCCTGACTATACTAATATTTGTGCATGTCAAGATAATATTTGTGCATGTCAAGGTATTTCAATGTAAAGATACAGCTAAAGAGCAACGCTCGAAATAACGACCGATCAACAATCAATGATTGGCTATTTTTAAAGAAATTTCTAAAAATTCAAAGTAAAATAACATGTTGTTGTAAAAAAATTGCATTTGATCGGCAAGATTTGAAAAACTATTTCGAGCGATGAAAGAGCTTTATCTTAACATCGAAAAAATCACAAGAGGCTTGCGAGCTACAGGTCGCACCCTTTATATAAACGTTTTAATGTAATGTAGACAATGTACTTACATAAATCTTTTTTGAATGCACAGCAGACTGAGGCAACAATAACTTCGAAAATATAATACCGTTACGAGTAAACATCTAGTTATTTAGTTCTGTATGTTGGGTCTTTTAATGCACAAAACGGTTTTTAAAAAGTAGAAATTTTTAAATTATCTGATAGGAATAAAAATGCTGAAGGTTGAGCGACTATGTAACACAGGAATGCAAATGCTGCCTAATTTTCCTTTTTCTAAATAGTTAAATTTATAAAAAAAAGTAACATGTTCAAAAAAAATAAAGTGTTGACGTCAACTTTTCTTGACCTCACTCCCCCCCCCCCACCCACCCACCATTGTCAACAATTGTCAAAAAAGTTCAGATCCCCCCTCCCCCTATTTTGTTGACATAATTAATGGACAGCCCCTAAAGCAACTTTTTTTTTTAATTTCTATCCTCACTCTCTAAATGTGTTCTATATAATAAAATAATACACACTATATATATATATATATTTGGGGGTGCCAAAATATCACGATTTTCAGAAAATGAAAGGTCGCTGTATAAATACCTGTTCTATACATAAAAAGAAGTATATAAACCAAATTTTACCTCTCTAGGACCATATTTAGTGCTGGAAGATGATTTTAGGTTTTTAAGCAAATACGAGAAATCATTGTTTTTTTCTAGAAAAAATATTTTTTTACAATTTAATGCCCTGTGCTCTCGCACAACAAGCAGAATATCTTGTCTATTGTCCTCCTTTATACTACTACTTATATATCTTTGGATTAAATTGATATTCCGCTCTGCTGGGTCATTTTTAACATTTAGAGATTTAACAAACTCACAATATGATATATATGAATCATTTTCCTCCAGCTTTCCAGCAGCTAAATCTGTTTTCCAGGTAGGAATTTCATCCTGTATGCCTAGAACAATGAACAGAGTCCAACATTCCTCTGTAGTCAACTCTGTTATTTCAGAGGTAGGTAAAACTAGAACAGCATCAGGTTTACTATTGGGAATAGTGTTGATATCTGGTACCTCAAAGGTCAACAGCTTATCTAGAACTGCAAGCTTCTCTTCAAAATCTGGATCTGCCAGTATTAACACAGCAACCTTTGGGGCAAGGTACCAAGAGTACTGCTGAAAAAATTTCAGAAATGCATTTCCAATTTTGTCCAATTTTGACATCAAACTCTTGTCGTATAACATAAGCTGACTTGAATGACAGGTAATCATTCTTAACAGCATATTCTGCTTTGTATGAACATAAATACCACGGAGCATAAAAAACTGCACATATAAAACTGACTTTTCTAGGTGGGGTAACTGATCTTTAGGCAGAAAATCTATTATACCTGATGTCATAATAAATTGTAAAGACTGTCAGCCATGAAACGAGCATTGTGATTGGCTCCTGGTTGATGAATTTTAAAATCATTCAGCTTTGGTGATGAGACATAAATAAAATGCAGCATACTTTACTAGATGATTGTAATCGTCTCTTGGAAACACTTCGTGATTAAAAGCAAACTTCAGATATTCCTGAGCATCCAGGTAAAGCTTATGAAGTTCAGATCCAACTTCCAGCTTCTTCTCATCAAATTTCTTAAACTCAGACATGTCAAGTTTTTGAACTATAGAGTGATATACTTCCCAGTCTTTCTTGAAATCTTTATAGAATTGTCGTTGTGGTGCAACAGTAACTCCAAGGACAATTACAATTGCCCTATGTATTGCTATTTCAAACCATTGATGTCTGCATAACAGCCAGAGAACAGGTTTTCCCAAAATATAGCACAATCTGGTTAGAATTCCTGCTTGGGCTCTGCAACAATTGCAAAATTTTCATTGCATATTTCAAAGGACTCAAGTAAGTTGTGAATAATTTTTGTTTCATCAAAAGCTTTGCCAGACTCTGCAGGTAAAACACCAAGTAAGAGATCGTTTTTATTCTCAAATTCAGGGCTGGTAACACTGACAGCAACTCTGTCTCTTATAACAGATTGCAAGGTATTTTCATCTAAATGTTTTAACAACTTGCCATCAAAGTGGAGAACAAGGTGTTTTCCAGCCATTATCTCTTTGTAATTTTCTCTGATTGTATTACCTAAATATAAATAAAGATAATTTTTTAATACAATATATTATGGTTATGATGGGTTTTTTTTAGGTAAATATACCACTCTTTAAAGGTATAGTAAGATTTTGCATCATAACTTTCATATATAATAGATTTACATTAGAAAATCAGGGATAAGAAATATCGCATCTGAAGAAAAACCTTTTGATTTGAAAAAAAACTTAATTTTGACTGGCAAAAAGTTGGCATAAAAGACTTTTTCTTTAGGTGTAATATCCCTTGTCCCTTTAAAGATTACCTTGATTTTTAATTACTTTTGTTCTTTTTCTTGAAATACTGGGTTTAGAAATGCCCATCTGATTCATCATCTCCTCCCAGGTAATTAACAACAGACGACAACAGCCATTGTTTGTATTTCAATGCTGATTAACCCTCTAGCACAAATAGGTGTAGTTACTGCCATCAGTTCATCTCTTGTTATCTTTGTATTTACTTGCATTGAGCCTTTAGGTAAGACTTTTGGGGTTTTAACTTGAGCAGCACCATATTCAAAGTCATCATCACTACCTTCGAATGAGTCTTCTTGATCTGTCAAAGTTGGATTAAACATATCCATATCCAAACTGGCTGGACCAGAATTGTATTTAAAATAATTACAAAAATAAGTTAGGATTTCCTTTTTAAGAAGAATGTTTTTTAACAGTTTTATGATACTTGATTTACCTTTTCGTAGTTGGCGTCAAGTCTTCATCACTTTCATCAAGTGGCGGGGGAGCTGATTTACATCTTTCTTCAGCTTGTTTCTCCTCTAGGTTTTCTTCCTAAAATCAAAAGGCATAACGTTAGAATGCAATAACTTACACTGATGGATGGACAGATGGATTTTGATTAATATAGAGAAATTTACAAAAAGGCTACATTATAATTAATATTCTTACCTGTCTGTTTGCTGGTCTAGATAGAAATTTAGGTCTTCTTTAATAGCAGCTGGTGTTCTTGGTGTTATTTTGTCTTTTTATTAGTTGCTCTAAGTTATCTTTGTCTATGTCAAACAACTGTTCCATTGTTGAAATGAATTCATTCTTAATATCTTCTCTAGTATCTTTGGT